GCTATTAGAGATCCTTCGCCTTGCATCACTTTAACTGTCCCGCAACAAACGAAAAAAGCGACGTTGGGGCTCAATTTGTAATTTATCTATAAATAAAATGAGGGGCAATTATTAAAACCAACAAAGGATAAAAACGCGCGTGCACGGATTTTGTTAACAAGGTTAATACCTCGCAATTCGCGCATTTAGTTATTTATTTGATATAAAATAAGAACAGATAACTGTTTTAAACCCGTAGAAATGAATGAACAATTTGCGATTTGGAGACTTCCTATTCATACCGAAAAAGTTGGAAATTAAAGGAAACGGAATTCTGGGGCTCGACAGGTTACTCACCTTATCCTTGCACTAGGATGCAGGCTTCATATGAAAAGCTCATGTCGGAAACTTTTGCGGAAAGCTCTATGAATGACGTAGGCCGATGGTTACGTGTCCGTTCGTAAAATAATAGCGGTTTCAGGGTGTATCATGTATGAGGAACATTTCTGTTTCCAATACAGGTTATTGACACTGTTCGAAGCTGAAAATTATACGCTTTTACGGTATTTGCGACGATACATACGGAATAACTTTTTTTGTTTCTCTCGCTGTGGTTTTTATGGGAATTACAAAAGACCTCGTGGCTTTTGTTAAATTTTTTCCCTGATTTTTTCTCTTAGGCATAGGATACTAAACGGCAACAAACTCCTTTTTAATTGAAATCGTCGAACCACATGCTTTTTAGTTGCGTATTTATTACAGAAATAGATACAAATTCCATCAAGTGACGAGAAACGTCTTTCTTACGAAATTAACGCTTCAAACTTGAACTATTTTCGATATAGGAATCGTGACAGTTTTCTTACAGTAAGTAATCCTCTGATTCTGCCCATCAACTGGAAATTGGGGAACTGAGGTCCTTTTTATACATAAAATCTCGCCTTGGCTGGTCACCCCAATGTTGAAACACGTTAGGAGTCGCTTTCTTGCGGTCTATTTTTTTGCCTACGATTTGAATAATTAAAGGTTTTGTTTCACTTTATCTATTAATGAGTCTAGTTTGAATATTGAGGCAGTAGCACTTTACTTCTCTTAGAAATCAGTCAGCAAACATAACGAAGAATGAATATAGTATATACTTTTACCTTACATTAAATTGTTTTCATAACCCCTAACTCAATTCAGTCTGCAACATAAAAATCGCCCTTATTATACTAGTCCAGTAACTATATACATCAGACCATGCGTCAAATCCGGTAGTTCTGATTTGTTGTGGGATTGCTTATGTTGTTAACCCAATGTATAATTCAAGTTTTCGACCTCGAGCGGCGAACGCAACATAGTCAAATATACTAAAAACCGAGGAATTTTTGTTTTCTTTTCAGATTTTGACGATTTTAAACCTGAAGGACCAGTTTGTCGGAAATAACTAATGAATACGTTTTGAAAGTAGACGAAATTGTTTACAATTTGAGGCTACAACCGTTTCTATAGACGTAATAGTTTACGAGATAATGCTTTTTAAAGTTTTCCCGAGAAATTTTGGTGCAGTCAATTTTTGGTAAAAAATAAAGGCTTGTACACTGCCTTTTTTTGAGGCACGAAAAAAAAAATTGTCTCAGATCGACCCGGAAAAAAAAAGTTCTTATAGAATGTGGCCTGTAGAACCCATAATTTCAAACAGTTCCAAGATTGGGCTACTAGTTCAAAAGTTACAACCCTTTGAATTTTCTTTCGATATTGGTTTCTAGTCCATAACTTTTGGTTGAGAAGTCCGATCGAAAAAGTACGAATCGTTTTGGATTCTACGCACCAAAATTAATAAGAAAAAGTGTTTTCCCGAGAAATTTTGGTGTAGTCGATTTTGGTAAAAAAGGAAGGTTATACACTGCCTTTTTCTAAGGCCCGAAGAAAAAATTGTCTCAGATCGACCGGGAAAAAATAATTTTCTTATAGAATGTGGCCTGTAGAATCCATAAATTCAAACAGTTCCAAGATTGGGCTACTAGTTCAAAAGTTACAGCCCTTTGAATTTTCTTTCGAAATTGGTTTCTAGTCTATAACTTTTTATTGAGAATTCTGATCGAAAAAGTACGAATTGTTTTGATTTCTACGCACCAAAATTAATATGAAAAAGTGTTTTCCCGAGAAATTTTGGTGTAGTCGATTTTTGGTAAAAAAAGGAAGGTTGTACACTGTCTTTTTTTGAGACACTCAAAAAAAATTGGCTCAGATCGACCCGGAAAAAAATTTTTCTTATACAATGTGGCCTGTAGAATCCATAATTTCAAACAGTTCCAAGATTGGGCTACTATTTTAAAAGTTACAGCCCTTTGAATTTTCTTTCGAAATTGATTGAGAAGTCTGATCGAAAATGTACGAATTGTTTTGGATTCTACGCACCAAAATTAATAAGAAAAGGTGTTTTCCCGAGAAATTTTGGTGTAGTTGATTTTTGGTAAAAAAAAGGAAGGTTAAGTATTCAAATACTATGCGAAGTATTCGTATACTTTACGAAGTATCCATATACTTTGCGAAGTATTCGAATACTAAATATTTGTGAAAGTATTTGAGTTACAAATACAAATACTGCCTCAATAAAAGTATTTAATTACAAAGTATTTGAATACTTTAAAGGATTTGAATACTAAAAAGTATTTACAAAATCGAATACTGCCCAGCTCTGATATAGTGGCAATTTGTAGGCAAAGAAAAAACGTCTCGCTCAAAAATAACCGATTTCGTAATTAAATTGGACGGCGGTATTTTTAAAAATGTGACAGCTGTCAATTGTATCTACTACTCATTTGAACTACTCAATAGATTGATGTGTTTTTTTTAAATCGAACATAGGGAAATTACGTTACATGCAAACTCCTATGTTCGCATTAAAAAAAATTCACTGTATATCTAGATACGTATAGCCTCGCTTGTAGATAGATACAGTAACTAAATAATCTAGTTACATATCTAGATATTTTCAAAAAATGTAACAATATCTGTAACTAGATAGGTCCATTTTTTGCTGTATCTAGGCGTCTTAGATAGATAGTTACCTACCATTTAATGGGCTCATCCCGCCTTCATTTTTTATTTCTGATCCACAAAGTACATTAAAAATAAAAAGACCCGTGTGTCCTCAATTCTTATTTGCGAGTGAAATAACCCCAAAATAAATTATTGAAAAGCTGTGTTTTTAGTCCGAATTTGAAACGCTTCAGACTAAATACGTCACAAACCTACAACCAATCACGTAGAAGTGAGCTGGCAACCTTACGCGAGGGTCTGGCGTTTGTCACATTTGACGTTTTGAGAGGGATGTTTAACTGCATCTAGCACGAAAGTGACAAGTGCCTGTGACAGATGACGCATAAATGCCATTCTCCTGCATTATTGCCAAGTCGTTATGTCATTTGAATGGTTCTAGGAGCTGATTGGTCGGGCTTATTACGTCACAGAGCCCGCCACAATCATATCGTTTTGAATAAACCTTTAAAACCGCACATGTTCATTATTTTTTTGCTAATCAGCCTCTATTTTTAAATAAACGTTTACTGTCCAAAAAAATGTTTTATGGTTTCAGGTACACGTTTATTAAATTAGAATTGCGGAATTCAACTATACTGTAAACCCCCATTATAGGTACCTACTTTTTCTTTTGTTTTGTACATATTGTTTGTCAAATATTGTAAAATGAATTTACTACCCCATATTTAAGAGACGCATAAAAAATTTTCTTCTATGTAACGCATTTTATTCTTTTAACGAGTTTGTGGCTAGTGGTAGATTATGTAATTAGTTAGCGTTTTTATTGCGATTTTACTGTTTTTACCTGTCTGTTTTTAGTTTGTTTGTTATATTGTTTGTTATTATTTTTAATGTTTAATGTAATTTCCCGTTTCTTTTGACGAGTGTAAGTGTAATTCACCTTCTCACAATTAAATATTATTATTATTAAATATAAAAAGTTAATACAATTATCGAGAAAACATGAAAGTAAGCACGAGCAGCCTCATATATGGTTTTCCGAAAAAAAACCGTACAAGTTACAGGGGGGCTTTTTAAATGTATTCCCGATAAAAATTTACAAACCAGTCCGGTCCTGTCTACGCGTGCAATTTACAACTGTTTCATACTACTACTACATACAGCGACTAATCAAACTAATGACTATACAGAGTGTGGTCAGACCGAGGGTCAGACCGTGATTACTTGATTTATGTTATTTTGATATTTTATTGGCGGTTGCCACGTTGAAAACAATTGTTGCAATAAAGATTATCTAACCACTATTTCCAACATAGGTTTAGGGAGTAAAGCGAAAATAACTACTTACCTAATAAGTTAAATAAATTAATAGGTACCTAGTTATTGCAAGGAAACTGTATTTCACACTTTACTTTTTACTGAGGCATTACTTCGAAGCACATTCTAATATAGAATAGACTGTGGCTGTATTTAACCCACCTATTCCACATTTATGAATCATTTTCCAACATTGTGCAATCGGCAATATTGATCATCAATGCGGTAAAATCAAACAGATAGGCAACTATCGACACAGACTATTCACAAAACCTAACCACCACTTTTTCTAAAATTACATCCTGTAACATCCAGTTATGCCATTTATTATCTTTATGCACCCCAGCATATTTAAGGGTAGTCACCCTGATGCATAACTACACATATAGCTATAAGCAAGAAGAAAATTTAAACTGATTATACGAAAAATAATTAAAACCAATTTTAACCAAAGTATTGGTTGTTAAAACTGAAATTATAATCTTTATTTCGGTTCTGGGAATTGAGAGGAGCTGAATGTTGAATAACACATTTATATTTTATTGCTTTTTGTAACAATCACAAGTACAATAAGAGGTGTAAAGTATAAACATGCAATTTACAGTTATTGTCATAGAACAACAAGAAATCTATTGACTTTACTTTAAAATCGTCCCAAACTGGGAAACACAAAAAGCATGTCAAAAATAGAGTCAATAAAAGTGACAAACAAAACATCCGTCAAAAATTGATTCTTATTTCACGCATTAATAATTTCTACATACAATTAATACAATTAAGAATAATATAGTATAATGTAAATTTGGTTAAGGCATGCATTAATTAGATCGCCTTTATCTATACTGTCTATCTTCTTCCTACGTAGTCAAACTTATGACGATGCCGGGCTTGACGGACGAGACCTCACTGTAAAATCTTTGTATTGTGAAAAGACACAAATCTGCAAAGACAAGTGGTAAAGAAAGTAGGTCATCGCATTGCATACTTTATCTTTTAATTGCTGGCACAACTGCAAACCGACAGTGAACAGTACGAGCACCTCATTTAACCATGGGACCGAGCACTCGGCCAAACTAGAGTCAATTTTCATCATGCCGTGGTTATTACTAATTTGGTACAGCGCCACAATTAACTTGTGACTTTGTAAATAGAAGCTTATGACTATGTCCTCGGGTAAATTAGGCGATAGGGACTTCTAAAAGAGTACCTTGACTAATTTAATGAGAAGGAATTTCCATACCATGTTCCTGCTTTTAATTAAATCGTCCATCGTCCGCTTTCGCGGGACAATTAGACTGGTACGGCCTCTTTGTAGACTGCCTAAAATATTTCCTAAAATATGCAACACTTCGTCCGACGACCTAAAAGACAACTGAAGTTTACTGGGAAGGGATAGAAGGGCCATGTGTAGATTTTATTTTATGAGCTCAATGAGTACAAACAAAAATCTATATCAGACCCTTTTAACTGTCTAGATTTGAAGGGAATTACTTAAACTTGTAGTTTTTCCCTACGTCGTCTATGTGATAAATTGCCTGCTGCAGGTGGTTGGCTGCATCCTGAATCTGCTGCAATTTCCACGGGTTGTCGCTTACAATACTGGTACGCACCATCGTCGTGGGCTGTCTTTGCAACTTAAACGTAATATCCTAAAAGTAAAGTGATAGTATTGGTACGCGGGGGAGGGGCTACGTACAGCGTAAGAAATACTGTCGCCGGTCAACGTAATAAAACACTTCAGCTGATCCGGCGGAACGGAAAGTACAAATTTGTCTTGCTTAATCGAGTTATCATTACCGTATAGCTGCACCGGAAATCGTCTCGCGCACTCCTGCAATGGGAAGGTGAAGCACGGGGGGTTTACATTATGGAAAACGTACCACCAGGATTTGATGGATCTGTTTTAGAGCCGTGTGAACTTCCTTGTGGAGGACCCATTCGAACTCCTTTTGCTGAAAGAGGTTTGACCTTTGAATAAGCTCCGAATTGAAGGACAACCTACCAAATTTAGGGCCTCCTCCTTTTCGCAGTCGGTATTCATTGTTAGATACATTCAGGTAGCGGACCAATTGAAAACCACGGCACGTAAATTAGTGTGGAATGTATGACACAATCGCTTATCTACATTGTAATTTAAACATTTAATTAAAAATAATTAAATAATGTATAACAAATACATGTCAACATAGCATGTATTTGAACCGAATTTAGTGGTAACTGTAGTGGGTAGGTTACTTTCTGTGCTAGTTATTGAAATAGACACGAGAGGGCTCAACCTTTTTCGTTGAAAAATGAATTAGTCAGTGGCGGAACATGGGATTGTTTGCGCGCACGTGATCAATTCTGTTTTTGGGAAATATTGTAATGCCAAAGAGTTAACAAAATTTTAAAAAACACAGTAAATATTTATGAATATATTTCACAAAATATAGGTTCTTTTGAGGCAGAGTTGTGCGTTATTTAAAAAATAAACCCAAACACTTTATTGAAAAGGTTTCTTTTTTGGTTTCATGTTATCTATCGAAATTATCGTAGTTTACGTTTACAGTGCGGCACGTTAAATTTGACAACTGTTTGCTACCGTTTTGCTACATTGGCCAATGAAAAATCAGTCGCTTCTCGACTTCTGCTGTTAAGTACTGCGGGCGTTGTTATTACGCAAAAAACAATTAAAATGATTTCTTGCAGACGTCTCAATCGCCCTTTGTGAGTACCCTCTTCCGACAATCCGTTCTTGAGATATAAGCGAATATACCCGATCACGATAAGAGGTCGGGAAGGAGGGCTATGGTTGGTAGAAAATTAATTCCTTTCGTTCAGACCTTTCATTAGAGTACCCTGAAGGATAAAACTAGTTCCACCCCCCCAAGTCAGGCCCCGTCGCTCACTGATTTCGAAAAAAACTTGCACGGGAAAGTTATAGTTTGTACAAACCAATTTATTTCGATGAGACCTTTCATTAGAATACCATGAAGGGTAGAACATGTGTCCCCCCCCCCCCCTTGGCACCACTAAAGGCATGCGTATGCAAAATTTGAGACCAATTGGTTGTCGTATGTACAAGTTATGCACGTTTTACTTTCAAAAACAGCATCTCAGGAAATAATTCGTGGGGAGGCCCCCCTTTTAGACAGCGAAATTTGATGGCCGTCTGGCACACCTTCAAGGTATAGGCTACCTATTGCAAAAAATTCCAGGACTCTAGGACCATTCCCCTAGAAGTAGTTCAAAACGGCAGACGGACGGACGGACAAAACGCAAACAATAGCACTTTTTTTTTAATTCTTAAAAAATGCGCTAAAAACTATACAAGATACTTTATTGGAATTGTTTACAAAAGTATATCCAATTTAGTAAAGTGATTAACATTCTAATTGTTTATTTATTAAGTAAAAGTTTCCAAATTGCGAATGCACTCCCTGTCCTAGAGGGCCATTCTTTCAAAAGGTGAAAGTCAAATCCACGCCGAAGTCATTAAATTAATTAGAAGGTATTCACCATAATAAATTCAATTAAGACATTAACAAGTTGTTAGTGTAACAGTAAACATGGAGGTGAGTGTAATGTAAAAAAATGCAATCTTTCAAGTGTTTCTTGCAGGAGAATCTGTCAACGCAGCAAGTGACCCGTAAGTATTAACTGGTGCATTTGGCCTTAGTGAGCAACCTTCGTTTTAGTTTGGCACGATGCCTTTAACAATTTTGACTACAACAGCACCGGTAGCATTGAATGCTGCGATCTTCCAAACCTCATCAAGGCAGTTGGTCAGTCGTACGATGAGGAGGACTTAGCTGAGTACACTCGGGAGTTTGGCGTCTGTCTTAGTTTCGCCGAATTTTTGATTATTATAAGGAAGATTATTAAAGATCGAGAGGAAGAGAAGATCAATAAGAAGGAGCTTAAGGATGCTTTCAAATGTTATGATAAGGATGGTGAGATGAGATTATAACCGCGTCCAAGCGACTTTAGTTTCGTTGGCAGGGAACGGACACATACGCGCGTCCGATTTCCGTGAAATACTCCGAAATTTGGATGGGAGCCAAACGGAGGAAGAATTGGACGATTTGATAGCCGAGTTTGACAGTGATCGATCTGGAACCATCGATTTAGAAGGTGAGCTGTTGAAAAACGGTATCAATTCTCAACAGGATTTTTTCCAGAATTTTTAAATGCGATGGCGAAGAAGTGATTTAATAAAGTAGATGTGTGTTGTTTTACTTAGTGAAAATAGTTTATTTGGATAGTATTCAAAAAATCTGTAGCCGCTCGGTCTTGCTTCGTAACATTGTACAAATAATTGTTGAAGGAGGCAGTTTACACATCAAACACGATGAAAGTAGGTAGTCTTATTCTCCCGTCATCATTTCCATGAATTCTGCAAGTGAACATTGTTGGCCAGTTTAGAAGGGGGGTGTCACTCACCATCAAAATCAACGGTCCCGGAACCGTCAGTATCGATTTCCTCGATGAGGTTATCCAAATCCTTTTCGGTTAGTTGGTCGTCGAGCTCCCTCAAGATTTCTCTGAGAGCGGAGGTCTTGATGTAACCATTTCCTTCCTTGTCGTACAACCGGAAGGCTTCCTTGAGTTCCTTTTGCATGGCTTCATCATCTTCTTCAACAATAAATTTGGCGGCTAACGTGACGAACTCCTCAAATTCGAGCCGTCCAGATTCTGCAAGAATTTAGGTCAGACCGTCGCGCTAGCTTTGGTACGGGTCTCTTACTGTCAGCGTCGACTTCCTCGATCAGTTCCTGTAGGATTTTCTTGTCGAAAGGCTGACCCATCAAGCGAAGGATTTCGGATACCATATCGCAAGATATGCTTCCGGATTTTTGACTGTCGAAACTTTCGAACGCTTTGCGTAAAACTGGAAAAAGTTGAGATGTTGGCACGAGCTCAAATTGTGGATGCACGCGACTATTTTTGAATTTAGGTAAAAAAAGGGACTTACCGGCGATTTGTTCTGGAGGAAGCTCATCCTAAACACGAAGAATCTAATAAGTACACTTGGCGGTTGTTTTCGAGAAAATCACTTACCATGATAGTGAGTGTGTTTTGCGATGTGTAAGCGACGGATGCAAAGATCAACTAACTGAACCGTTGGCGAGGGAGGCTACAATATAAAAACATTCGAGATTATAGCAGATTTCTAATCCCGCACACCCACAACTTGTAACAATTTTTTTTCTGTACGCGCGTAAAAGCGCTTCAATTGGTTACCGGAGCGTTCTCTGGCCAATCACCAAGTTCTTGAAAGCAGTAGCAGTGTTTTCGTAGAGTATTTTTAGCTTTGTGTAAACCACAAAATTTAACTTACTCGTATCTTTTACATTTTCCCCATTATATTTCTTTTGATTTATGGAAACGCGTTCCCTAGCCAACGACTATATTTATAATCTTTCCATTAGCCTTTTATGGATACGTCACACGCGAATACTAGAAGTGGAGGAATACCCCTATGCTCAATCTTTATTCATAAAATAAGAGGCGCCAAAGGGGCAGTAAATCCACACAGTCTGGCCCAGTTATTTAAAAAAAAAAACAAAACGTTTCAAAACAATTCGACCAAAAAATTCGGGTCAAAAGGACGAAATCTTTCATCAAAGTAATTAGACGTCTCCCAAACAAGTGTAATAAAAGCAGATGTTGAGTTACAGATTTAGAAACCGTTCTAAAAGTGGAAACGAATGTTATAGTCGCTTAAAAATCCCAACTTGAGCGAAACGAAATGTTGGCGAGTGAAATATTCACCCACATCCCGTATTGTTTTCACCCTCTGGTTCATATTAGGCAAGCGTCGAACTTTCTGCATAGGTACATGTAGTGTCAGGGGTTCAGTCGAACTTGGACAAATGGAAGAACTTTGGACCAAGTGGAAACTATGCCAATAAATTGTAAGGATCAACGGTTACATACATTTTGGCAAATTCACCAATTTTTCATGTTTTTTCACTTTGACATTTCAGCAATTGAGCCATATCGTAAACAGCAGCAGCTCAATGACATTATACCTAAAAAAATAGCGGGTGATATTAAAGGAACTCTCTGTTTTTCACAAGATGAATTTATACTAAAACGTTTACCCCTGGGTTACTCCATCTGCTTCATTTCGTAAAAAAATCATGTTTGCGCTTCAAAAAACGCTGTTTAGGTCATCATCTGAGGCAAAGTTGCGGTCCTCTGAGGTATTTTTTTTAAATTTTTAAATAAAGGAATCTCGCATGGTGCTAAAATTCGGGCCAAGATTGGAGATAGTAGCTTGAGCATAGCAAGGGCTCTCCAATTGTCGTGCAACAGCGCAGTTTTTGTTTTCTACGAGTTCGTCGTCTTCAAAAATCAAGCGTTTGTTGAAGCGCGCAAAATATTACCACAGATAGTATTTTGTCTGTGATATTACCCTTGTATTATCTGAATAAAGTTTTCACCTTTGTTTATTTATTTATTGTCCCTCTTGTTCTAGGCCCTCAAGTCCTGTAAAAATGCATAATCTAAATATAGATACGCAAAGATAACATTGTGTGAATAAATGAGTGTTTTAGCATTATAAAGAAATTAATTATTTCAGTTATTTATAATCCAAGTTGGTATTTTATTTAACCGTAGAAAAGTTAAAGGGGAATTGGCAATATAAAGTAATAAGCGCTGTTATAAATGCAATTTTATTTCATATGTAAATAGAGTAGGTACATGAATATGTTGCTATGTGCATTGGTCCCGGTCCGGGTTGTCGCAGCCCCTTCCTGACTCTCGGTAACAACTAACAACCCAGAGGATTCTGTGGTCGGTGAAACTCAATTTCAATTCCACATCTAGGGAACGACCTCATTTGTCACCAGCAGAGCTGGGCAGTATTCGATTTTGTAAATACTTTTTAGTATTGAAATCCTTTAAAGTATTGAAATACTTTGTAATTAAATACTTTTATGGAAGCAGTATTTGTTTTTGTAACTCAAATACTTTCACAAATATTTAGTATTCGAATACTTCGCATAGTATTTGAATACTTAACCAGAAACCAATTTCGAAAGAAAATTCAAAGGGCTGTAACTTTAGAACTAAGCCCAATCTTGGAACTGTTTGAAATTATGGATTCTACAGGCCACATTTTATAAGAAAATCTTTTTTCCCGGTCGATCTGACACAATTTTTTTTGCGGGCTTCAAAAAAAGGCAGTGTATAACCTTCCTTTTTTACCAAAAATCGACTACACCAAAATTTCTCGGAAAAACATTTTTTCTTATAAATTTTGGGGCGCAGAATCCAAAACGATTCGTACTTTTTCGATTAGACTTCTCAATCAAAAGTTATAGACTAGAAACCAATTTCGAAAGAAAATTCAAAGGGCTGTAACTTTTAAACTAGTAGCCCAATCTTGGAACTGTTTGAAATTATGGATTCTACAGGCCACATTCTATAAGAAAATTTTTTTTCCGGGTCGATCTGAGACCATTTTTTTTCGGGGCTCAAAAAAAGGCAGTGTATAACCTTCCTTTTTTACCAAAAATCGACTACACCAAAATTTCTCGGGAAAACACTTTTTCTTTTTAATTTTGGTGCGTAGAATCCAAATCAATTCGTACTTTTTCGATCAGACTTCTCAATCAAAAGTTATAGACTAGAAACCAATTTCGAAAAAAAATTCAAAAGGCTGTAACTTTTGAACTAGTAGCCCAATCTTGGAACTGTTTGAAATTATGGATTCTACAGGCCACATTCTATAAGAAAAATTTTTTTCCGGGTCGATCTGAGACAATTTTTCTTGAGGGCCTCAAAAAAAGGCAGTATATAACCTTCCTTTTTTACCAAAAAATCGACTGCACCAAAATTTCTCGGGAAAACACTTTTTCTTATTAATTTTGGTGCGTAGAATCCAAAACAATTCGTACTTTTTCGATCAGACTTCTCAATCAAAAGTTATAGAGTAGAAACCAATTTCGAAAGAAAATTCAAAGGGCTGTAACTTTTGAACTAGTAGCCCAATCTTGGAACTGTTTGAAATTATGGATTCTACAGGTCACATTCTATAAGAACATTTTTTTCCGGGTCGATCTGAGACAATTTTTTTTCGGGCCTCAAAAAAAGGCAGTGTATAACCTTCCTTTTTTACCAAAAATCGACTTCACCAAAATTTCTCGGGAAAACACTTTTTCTTATTAATTTTGGTGCGTAGAATCCAAAACAATTCGTACTTTTTCGATTAGACCTCTCAATAAAAAGTTATGGACAAAAAACAAATTTCGAAAAAAAAATTCAAAGGGCTGTAACTTTTGATCTAGTAGCCCAATCTTCAAACTGTTTGAAATTATGGACTCTCGATCGATCTCGATCTCAGACAATTTTTTTTTCCGTTCTCAAAAAAAGGCAGTACTTTTAAGTTATTCAAATATTTGAGAACAATTTAGAAATGTTTAGGGAAAGTTTCCATTGTCACAAATCAAATATAAAAATCCGATACATCTGACTACCGAACTCGATAGTCTACGTAACTTAAAAACAATAGGGACCTTTCTTATATCCTTAAAACCATGTGTACCAATTTTCAAAGCAATCGCACGTTTCTAAACAAGTTATCATGCACACGGACAAACGGATGGTCAAAAATGGATCTGTTCCAAAATCGCTACGATTAATTTCAGAAAGGCGTACGTATCATGTGCACGACGTACGATCGCTTTGAAAACTGGTACACGTATTCTTAAGGATACAACTGGTATAAGAAAGGTCCTTTTACTCCCCTTAAATTTGTAAATAACAGAAATATAAAAAAAGCTAACCCCATACAAAGTATAACTTGATTTTTTAAGTAGTATTAAGCCTTTTATCTAGTATACTATTTTAAATGTTTAATGTATTTGAGTGACAAGTATTTGAATACTTTTCAAAGTATTCGAATACTTTTTATAGTATTCGAATACCTTTGAAAGTATTCGAATACTTTTCAATGTATCTGTATCTAGTATTCGCTTGTGCTGGACGTAAAAGTATTTAGTATTCAAATACCTTTGATTTGTGTTAAGTATTTACTATTTAGTATTCAAATACTTTTTGAAGGTATTCTGCCCAGCTCTGGTTACCAGGTAGAAAAACATGGCGGTGCAAACCTATATTATACTATATACAGTCAGTAAAGAATCAATCAATGATAATTCTATAGCCGATCTGTGCAGAGCAGAGCTGAAGGGTAATTTCCATTGTATTTCCCATTGAAACCTTTAACCAGAACTCCTGGTCCATCAACAGCAAAGGTATTATAATGAAGGTCGTAGTATAAAAAACCTCTTCCATCAACATGATGAGTCATTTTTGATACATTTTCAAGGGAATAAAAAACAAAAGGGTAGAGGGAGAGACAATTTTTAACAAATAACAACCTTTATTTCTCATAAATATATAATGTTAGAGTTAATTAACAGTGCTGCGTGGAAGATCAAATATTTGAAAACACACAACTTGATTAGCGATGCAGCGCACTTAGTGGTGATCCTCTTTCTCTTGGCCCTTCAAAATTTCACCCAGTGGCGTCCATTCCGATTAATTAATACATTTTATTTAAAATGACATGCAAATACAACATTTTCCAACGGACAGCGATAATAAAATCTATATTAAAACGCGTCAACTTTCAAAAGTTACATAAGCGATAATATTAACATTATATAATTTATGAATATGTCGAATGACTTTGGCACTCTTCTGAAACTTTCTGGAATGACGGGTGAATTTTCCAGTTTTCACCCTGTACGTTCAAAACTTTACTAAAACTAAGAACTTGGAAATTGTGCTTTGATATTAAAGTTGGTGGTTCCCATCCCAGTGTTAAAATTCGAATTCTTACAACAGTAATGGAAGCAAATTTTGGTAATAAATTAAATTGGTTCGTGCTTTAGTTAATGAAATGGACATACAAAATGAAGTGAATTATTGCTAAGATCCATGGAATCTCGAAATGTTCTTGTTTGTACTTGTTTCCCTTTAACGGGTTAAGTACGTTGATATTACAATGAAAATTCGGTTAATTTTACAATTATTTGTATCACTATGACGTCTTACCTGGTAATGAAAATAAATTTTCAATACGGTCAGTATCTCCCGTTCGTACCAAGCTGTAGAAGTGAAATCGAGACACATTTAGCTGTGCATAAGTAACGAGCAAAAATAGTACACAAATAAGTAAATTTACTTAAAATACAGTGGAAATTCGTTCATAATCTCTCTTACTAATTTTTGATCTTGAACACTTTGGCTTGATTCTTCACAGAAAATTCGCGTGAAGCTCTTGAGGATATCTTCTTTTCGATGATAATGTTCATCGTAATTTGTACTTTTCATCACCCGTCTGCATAGCTCGAGGTACTGCCCCCTTCGCTGCAAAAAGTATTCCCCTCAAACTCGGTACTGATTCGAGTCACTTTTATGAATCACCTCCAAAGTTCTGAACTTACCTTATCACCTGGAGATAAATCGGAAATATTCCTAACAACTATATCTATGAGTACTTTAATATCGTTTGTGTAAAACAAATCGGCCGTACTTTTTCGACTGAACAAATCCAAGAATAACTTCAAAAGGGAATGTGGTGGTGACGGTTCGTGCTCAAAAATGCGCACGGGATCCTCTGCAATTTCCATATTAATAATCACCAAAGCTAAACAGAAGTGATTACCTTCTCTATTGAAAAGTAATAGAATTTTTTCCGTAAACGTTTTCGCCATGCTCTTCCCTTCGAGTGTATTTAAGACGACATTGTCGGCGTCGGTGTCGAATTGCAAGTTGAAGGAGAGCAAAAACGTTAAAAACAAATCGGGAATCTGTTCTTCAATGTCGGTGTCGGGGGGAGACTCGATGTTGTTGAGTATGAAGTTGAGGAACGGTGGGCCAATTTGGTCTAAAAATTAATGTGAAGGTTGCACGCGATTTGCACGATGTTTGATTTACCCAAATGTGTTATAGGCATTCTCTCTCCCAGAGAAAAAATCATTGTGAGTAGAAGGGATGAGTATTTAAGCTTGGATATGTTCCGGGAATTCGACAGCATATCCCTGTATAATAAAGGTGATTTGGATTATTCAGTTATAAGTTGCAATTGGATGGTTGTTTGTAGATCATTTAAGCAGAATCCATCAACAAAACAAAAATATTTAATGTACAACGAAATTTACAACCCCCGCAATCGAATACTGTTACGTTAAGAAGAACGAATTTTCTTAAAAATTACGAAATTTCAATACGGTAAGGGCTTTTACTTATAAGTTACAATTGAGGGGTTGCTTGTAGATTACTTAAGCAGAATCCATCAAAGAAATAAAAATATTTCATGTACAACGAGATTTACAACCCCCGCAATCGAATACTGTTACGTTAGGGAGAACGAATTTTCTTAGAAATTACGAAATTTCAGTACGGTAAGGGATTTTACTTATAAGTTGCAATTGGGGGGTTGCTTGCAGATCATTTAAGCAGAATCCATCAACAAAATATAAATATTTCATGTACAACAAGATTTACAACCCCTGCAATCGAATACTGTTACTTTAGGAAGAACGAATTTTCTTAAAAATTACGAAATTTCGAAACGGTAAGGGTTTTTACTTATAAGTTGCAATTGGGGGGTTGCTTGTAGATCATTTAAGCAGAATCCATCAACAAAATATATATATTTCGTGTACAACAAGATTTGCAACCCCAGCATTCGAATACTGTTACTTTAGGAAGAACGAATTTTCTTAAAAATTACGAAATTTCGAAACGGTAAGGGTTTTTACTTATAAGTTGCAATTGGGGGGTTGCTTGTAGATCATTTAAGCAGAATCCATCAACAAAATATAAATATTTCATGTACAACAAGATTTACAACCCCCACAATCGAATACTGTTATGTTAGGGGGAACGAATTTTCTTAAAAATTACGAAATTTCGAAACGGTAAGGGTTTTTACTTATAAGTTGCACTTGGGGGGTTGCTTGTAGATCATTTCAGCAGAACTCGCCATAGCTACGGATGGCCCGTAGACTCACCCCTCTACGTCATTACCGTTATATTCGACGCGCTACTTGTACCTAAAAGATTTACAGCGGCAAAATCCCTAAAAGTGGGGTTGTTCGTCATTAACTCATTATTGATTACCTATGAAAAACGACAAAACAACAAAAATTAAACGTAAGGGTATACACTTTATGAGCGTTAATTAAGGGTTGATACAGCCAGATTTAATATCAAATGCCCTACGTAAAGAATTACCTACTCTTAAAACACCCTTAAATTCGTCCCATATTACGTTTACCTGTGCTTAACGCTCTTTATTGTACAACTAGTTTGTTAATTGTGTAGACGTTCTAACTGCTCTTTGTGAGTACCCTTTGCGGAAAAATGCTCAACATTTCAGGAGACCTACCAGAAAGTAAGTAAACTGTAGAAGTGGATTAACAAAAACGAAACAATAGCATATTTTTATTAATAAATTAATAAATGCGCCACCTAACGGTAGATCATCTGTAAAGGTTTATTTACCTGGCAAGTTCACTCGGCAGAACGGAATTTAACATAATTGTTACGACAGTACCGTCCAAATTGCAGAGTACTCCAAACGCCTGAATTAATAACTGTCTAATTGACCAACGAACTTCCATTTGATAATACTGAATCAGCGTCGTGATAACATGGTAATGATCGATCGAAATGACATGCTTGGATATGCTGGCGTCGGCGTTCGACTAAAATTCGGGAGTAAGGGGCACGTTGTACTGCAATTAGTCTTACCAGAATTGATATCAGCTCCGTTATGTACTCTTTAATAACCCCCTCGTCTTCGTGCAACATCCAGCTTCTCTGCTGGGAATCTTCTTTGCACGAGGTCAGCTCGTTGAATATGATTTTTAGTCGGCTAGCATCGTGGGTTTGGTCGATTTGAACGTCGTCGGCGACCAGAGACGTCTGGCAGTGTGTTAAAATTGTACTCAAGTAGGGAAATGCAGATGCGGGTAGCAGGTCGTGCAAACCTTGAATTACGGTTTCCAAGGCGACTTTAGACATTTCGTGCGATAACTGAGTGTTAATTCGCACGCTCTCCACCAGCTCGTACACCGCTTGCGAGGTAATTATTGGCGAAACTTTGGCGTTTGAAGCGGTTAGTATATTCGGTTCCGAGATTTTACGTTCAGCGGTCTCGGGAGGTTTGCCATTTGCTTCCTTGATGGACTCCTCTAATGGGGGTTTTGCATCAGTCGCGCTGCACGATGTATTACTAGCCGTGCCGCTCGTTGTTTCTAAGCTACCGTCTGAATTACGAAATAAAAGTGGTGGAAGAACGGTCGTCTCATCGCTGACTATTGAATTTTCTTGAATTTCTGGTAGAAACTCGACCTGTCGTTTTAGCTCCTTTAGTCGCACCAGTATATCCTTTTTGCTTCCCGATAGCGGCTCTATTTCTGTGTACTGCAACGACACTATTGCGTTTTCTAAGAATTCCAAGTAGAATGCCGCTTTCACTGTTAACGACTCGACGTAATTCGAAGGAACAAAGCCCATCTCGCCCTTCGCATTTATTACTTCCCACCAATTCTTATGCTTCGTTCTAGTTTGGTGTAAAATGAAGTATTCGTTACTTTTAAAACTTAAAGCTTGAGGGTAAGTTGCTTTAAAATCGTACATGCTGCGAAGCATCTCTAAGCTACCTAAAAATGTACTTGGAACGTTCTGTTCTTTAAAAAATGCTTTAAATACCTATCGTTATTATATTATTCGACATTTTCTAAGTTTGAATTTCTAAATATTTACAAAAGTTTGTTTATTTACTGTCAGCAGTCACACCTATTAACATAACCTCAATCTATTTAAATATTCCCAATATTCAGTGGCGTAACATACATACTTATTATAGGAGGTTTATCTTTGATGAATAAAAGAAATCGTTCAGTGCCTTTTAGACCCTTTAGGACAAGAAACGCTCATATGACATTAATTCGGCACTGGAAAACTTGCCAGAGCAATAGAAAGAGTTGTGGGACCTCCTAAACATTTTGAAAGGTTTATATATGATCGTTTTTCTAGACCAGCCAGTCCAACGCACTCCCGGCAAGATCAATACTCCTTATGAGTTTTTTCCAGTAGGTACTTCAAAAGCTCCAACTAAAAACCTTTTAGGGCTTTTCCATCCCCTTCCAGATTCATTTAACCCTGAACACTTCTAAAACTAGTCGAGAATAGTTATTTTTGAAAGGACGTGAACATTTCTGGCAGAAAGTTGAACCTGGACAGACATGTAGTCAGAGTAGCCGGCAGAATGCTCGAAACTGATCTAAGAAAATTCCAATTTTTGCCACAGATGAAAAATTCTTACCTAGGCCCAGATTCGAACACTCGACCTCCCGGCTATGTAGCCCAACGCTCTACCACTGAGCTACAGAGTCGGTCATCATGAATCCCCCGAATTATCGTGTCTCCCTCAAAATCAGAAATTGGAAAGAGTGGAAGGACTATAAGGGTTAAAAAACTTTGGGGATTGGGGAACGTTCTAGAAAGACACTATAACGCTTTATTAGACACAAGAAAGCTTTATATTGCTCTGGCGAGTGTTTTAGTGCACAGGAAAGAGGTCCAATCTAGCGGGTTCAGTTCTCAAGTGATAGGGCAGCTGAAGTTAGCAAATACCACAAATTTATATTACCAAAATCAACCAA